TATAAGGATATTGACCTAAAAAAGTTGGGGATCACCAGCCTTTTTTCCCAGAATTAGATGATTGTACTTTAGTGGAAAGTAGCCATTTTGACACTATTATAACACTTTTACCATAGGCTCCTATGGCAGAGATATTACGCAATATCTCAAAATCTAGCCTGGTGACATAGGCTGAAAAAATCATATATTGTTAATGATGGAGTACTTTTTGTATCTGGGTTTTATAAAGTGTCAAAAAATGCAATTTTTCTTTAACATTGTGTTCTATGGAATTGTTCTAAAAATAGCAATTTTCAAGAAATATTAGAACGCGTTTCTCAAAAAGCAAAACTGTAACACACAAAATAATGCTATTTCATTATACCATGGGACATTAGCTTCATGATCGTACATAATAAACTAATGAACATTGTCATGCGATTTATGACCAATTTTGTCAAAAATCATGACTAGGCTTCTACCTTAAACAGAAACATCATATTTGCTTTTAATAAATAAGTGTGTTTATATGGTGATATTTGTCTGGAAGTTGTGTTTGTTGTTTTATACAATGTAATCTGCTGTTCGGTGTACCAAACTAATATTATGGTTCATTGATTAACTTTTGTTCTTGTAGACATTTGGCAGAAAGCGACGACATGATATAACAGAAGCTTCTATTGAAGAAATGAGAGAACGAGAATTTGAAAAAAGTCATCTCGGATTAGATGAAACGCCATCATCTATAATTGGTAAGATGAGTGTCACCATGGCAATGATGTGCTCCAAATATATGCTTTATTGTCAAAGTTGACATATGCCTGGAATATGGTATTTATTTTTTCTGCTTCAAACATTCTGTGTTATTCAGTATTTTAGCATTTTAAGTAATAAGTGTTCTGTTTCATTGTCAATAGACACCAGTCGTCAGCTTTCAGAATCAAAACGATCATCATCAACAACAACAAGTTTTCAACTTGAAATGTCCAGCAGGTATGCATTTATTTAGCTGTAATGTGCAAGCGCGTGTTCGAATTTCATGTAAACAAACAATGTATTTTACACACGTTGTATACGTGGCTATGAGTCTCATATCGAACAGGACGCGACACGACGACTGCCACCCTTTAAACTTATAATCACATTTTGAAATGAATTTTAGTTTAATTATGATTTAATTACATTAATTAAAATAAAATCCTATATAGGAATGCTATTTAGTTACAGTTTAATTAAAATGTATGTGGTTAAAAAACCTTAAATTCAATAAAATTCAACATTAACTTAAGTCACAAATCACAGTTTAGTAGTGGCTAGCTAATATACACATGTCTTTCAAGACTACTTAATTATTCACAGAACAATTGATGCAGTGTTTTTTTTCCGTTAAAGTTCATCCTATATATATCAACACATCCATGTGCAACTGTTGATGCAATCTTTTCATTTTATCAAATATTCTATCAATTAGACATAACTGAAGAAGTTTCTGTTCTATGATTTTTGTCAATAGTATTCTTGAAGGATTTATGTATTTTATTTAATTTTTTGTTTACTTAGACCTGGTACTGGTTTGGAGAAAATAGAAGAGACAGTAGCACAACCCTTAGAAGAAATGATATTGGGTGAGACAGAGCCTCTGCATCTAGATGTACCATTGGAATACCCTACAATTATAGAAAGCACTGAATCAGAAGATGAGAAGAAGATGGTACCCACAATGCATCATACTGATATCATTAGGTAACTATATAGGCTAATTTGCATTTTAGATGGTTAGTTTGTGGGGATTTTTGAATTTCAACAAAAACAAAATGTGATATTTCTAATGCATGTCAAAGTCGTGTTTGTGTGAGCAAAAACACAAGCATGATATATTTACTCCTAAAACATGTTAGCACTCACTGTACAACCAATTTAGTGGAAACATGGAAATAGTTGACTGTATTTGCACTCCCAATTGTTGTAAATTATTTTATCAAAATAATCATGTTGTGTACAGTAATAGTGTTTTTTAAAACACATCGCAAACATACTGTGGCAATTTAACATACACTGACAATGCCAGTATTTGAAAACTGTGATTTGAATATTCTCATCAATACATCATGAAAACAAATGACTAATCAATGCATGTTTTCAGAGAGCACAGATTGTCTACTTCTATAAGTAGAATGATTTTGATGCTGTATCAAAAATTGCATGTGCTGTTTCCTGAATCATTAAAATATGACTTTAATCGCTTGGCCGCAAATAACCCCTTATGTGTAATGGGAGTTTGCATTACTAATGGAGCACACCCTTGATAAATTTATTTATTTTTCAAATATATAGAAAAATAGGGATTTTAACTATTGATAATCCAACTGCTACATTTGAAGAATTGGTCCCTTTAACCACAAAAAGAAACATTGCTGCCTTAATGTTTTCTGCTTGTTTGGGTAAGTAGTTTATACTGGTAACCCATATGTGTTATACTGGTTTAGATTGCATGTATGTATAAGTGATTGGTTAATATTTATATTTAAGTAGGAAATTTGTTAGTAGATTAGCCAGGGGTTGATCAACTAGTTAGTTAGCAGATATGATTTGATTTACGTATTTGATATTTGAGAGAAATTATCAGTATGGTCAATTCATACTACAATTTGCTCACAGGGAACTTTTAATATTTCAATCATTTGTTTTTAAATATATGAATCATGCTTTTCATACTCCACAGTTGTCATAGTAAACGGAATTAAGGTAGAGATGCAGTTTACCTGACAGGTATTTTAATTAGTTAATTAGGAAACCAAGATGACCTCCCTTGTCCACAAAACTATATATTTTCGGAAAGCTTATTGTATGAATTTTAAAATTTTGTTAATATTTTTTTTTATGGACACTCTAGTTTGAAATATGCACAAAAATGTGCTTTTTTGGCCAAAAGTGATTTAAACAAAATTAGCTTCTAAACCATGCTCCTGTTTCCTGTCAAAATTGGTTTATGGGTACATATGTTTTCTATGAAGAAAGCGCCGTCTTGAAAACTGTCTACCAGTTGTCAATTTTGCAGGGCAGCAGCTAAAATTTCACTACTTCAAGTTTATGCATAAATTAACACCCAGGCTAGTTGTCTGTACATTGTTGTAACACTGTTCAACCAAAAACAATGTCCCTGACGGCGTTTTGAAGATAAACACATTGTCAATCATTTGTGAAAATTTCAAAACAAAAGGTCAAAGTGTCTAGGAGCTATTTTTTTTCAAAGTTCTGGGATGTGCACTAAAAAGAAGCTGAGATAATTGCTAATTTGCATAACAATTCACTCAGTAAGAAGTTTGCTAATGCTCATAATTAAAATGACTGATCGTTTTGTTAAAAGTTAAATACAGTGCATATTGTGGAGATCCCGTCATTTCTTTTTTTTACCATGTTTCTTTTTTATTATTTATGTACAGCCTTGTTAAATCTTGCAAAGCATTCAAAAGAGAGAATGTTTGCACCTGTTATCTATATTTTAAAATCGTTTTTTGAGTATGTTCCACTATTCAGAATTCTACAAAATTTTAACAGTATTTAGCCAACACTGTTTGGATAATAAAAAGCAAAAAAAAAAATCACTCCCAAGTGCCCACAAACCTGCATCTCTACCTTAAAAACAAATAAAAGTGTTTTTTTCTGAAGTCAGATCTTATTAACACAATTTGAAACACTATTTGCAATAATTTTGACCTTGATTGTATTACAGACTGTGCTGCAACTGGTCACATGTCACTGGATCAAGAAATAAGCTATGGCCCCATCTACATCAGAAGAGGCCCAAATTTCTAAATTATTCACTACTGTCAACCCAATTTTTTGCTCATTATGTCTTTTTGGAGAAAATTTGCATATTGTTTAAAGAGAAAGAAAATTAGCTAATTTAATCTCTGTTTTGCTTAATGTTTATTATAATTAGTATAATCATACTTGTTACAATTTATCACAAGAGATTATCACTACCGTACTGTAATATAATTCCAGTATTTTAAAGTCAAAAAACTCTTATCCTGAGACCATATTTTGATATGAATTATGTGGAACCCCAAAATAGAAAACACTTGATGGCTGTGATACAATAGGACCTACAAAGTATTATAACATAATTCATTATTATTAATATAAATAATTCAAGTACAATATTGGCTATCATAATTGAAAATATGAAATGAAAGTAACTCAATTTTGGGTTAGGGAGAATTTAGGGCTATGAATTTATATGTATTTAATATTATGTTTTTTAATAACACAAATATTTATTATTATATTATCAATGTACTAAATTTTGGGCCAGACATAATTCAAAATTATGGATTTATGCATTTAATATTATTTTTGAACATACATTTGTATGCTTTCAAAAACACAAATATTTATTAATGTTATCAAATGTACTAAATTTTGGGTCAGAAACAATTTAAAGTTATGTATTTAATATTATATACTTGCATTTGTATGTTTTTAATAACACAAATATTAATTAACTTTTATTGAATGGGCTTTTATACCTGTTTCTATTTTATAATGACTTTTATAATTAATTTTTGAATGTATTTCAAAGTGATATTACTATTTTCCATTTATTCCATTTCATATGAATTTCTTTATAATACAATATAAATATTTTCGCCATTTGAACTGAATATTTTCAATGCTGCAATTGTTAAATTAAATTGGTCATTCACGTAACATTTTCCTGTGTAATCTCATTATGTTTTGTAGTAAATTTAATAAAATGTGATCATAATGATAATAATCTGATTGGTTGTTCAAATTCAAATATTGCAAGTGTTACCCAATTGTTGACATCTAATGCTTGTTCCTGTTTTGTGTAACCATGGCAACAATAAAATTAGAATGATTTTGTTTTGAAATGCATTAACGTTTTGAATATTTAAAAAGTATGTCTGCTGTCATCAAAACTGACAAAATGCTTTATCAAGCATTAATGCAGTGCTTTAATTAAATATAGCAGCAAAAGTAAGCTTTATATCTTTAAATTCAAGAATTCATTGTTGTATTTTAAATTCTATTTTCAGACTTAATAAAAAATTTACAGAATTTGTTCATGTAATTCTATTTATAGTAGCTTGTGATTATATGCACAAAACCATAGTTGCATGAAATTATATATGCATAAAATTGTAGTATATATTTCAATTTATTGCTCGTTGGCTGCACTTGAACTGGTGCCTACTTAAGCTACATAGCAGCCACCAAACTTTTGTGTTTACTGTTGAATCATTGAACAATTGGATCAGCGCTAGATGTAAGACTGTCAGCGAGAGAACTTTTATATTGTTCAGATAATAGAACAAATTTGTTTCCAAATAAATTCCAGTGCTGACACTATTTTATCATTGCTGTTTGTTTTAAAACTCTTCCCAGATAATGCAATTTTATTTTTCCACTCATAGTTCACTATGTGATTGCCATTAGAAGAGCGCATTGGATTGTGGGAAAATCAATGTTTATCAGCAACGACTGCCGCTTTTTACAATTGGAAAGAATGTGTATTGCTAATTTAATTTGCATGTCTTAAGAAAATCAGATTTAAATCAAACTTGTTGCACGGGTGCTATAAACCAACCAAACTGAGAACGTCGTTTTCAAATTTTGCATCTCAATTAGCAGATCCAAATCTTCTTTAATTTTGAAATAATTTTAAATATAAACATATAAAATAAATCAGACTGTAAACCAAACAAACTGAGAATGAATAACACTTTTATCACATTTCGCATTTCAAATAGCAGACTTATATTAGTCCAAAATCTTTTTAAATTTCGAATTAATTTTAAATATTACATATTCATATGCCGCCAATTTTCTCACCACATGCAAATTGTTTTTAAGCTTTGTTTGATTTGCGGTCACTGGCATCTATTTAAAAAAAAATTCAATGTGACAAATAATGATCAGTTTAGCAGGCACTACCCAGCATTATGATTCAATGGCACAGATTCAGGTCATCTCATAAAACAAACGTTTATTACTGAGAGTTCTCATGCGACATTTCCTTACAATGAAAAATAAGGTGAATTTTACTCGCAATATAACAAAAAACTGATATTTTACACGGTATTGCAATCAGAACTGAGTAAGTATCAATGTTTGGCGCACCTCGAAAACAATCCGTAATATAGAATAATGGAGACTGTGACAACAAACATGAAGTAGACATAGCTAATTGAGACGATAGGTTCTAACCAATTATATGCTAAGTTGTACCTGATGTCAGACGTCCTGAACCAGTAACCAGTAATTTTAGTTACACTCTTGCTTATTGGGAAAAAAACGAAATTATATTTAATTCAAGACAAAACAGAGTCTGATGAAATAGACAAGTATGGTAAGAATACATTGCAAACTTAACTGCAAGATTCCCAATATCAATTTGCATAATTTTGTTAGGTACATGATAATCTTCAAATCCCAGTGTAATGTCACAATTATGCTGTATTCAATAAATAAATATCCCACGCTTGGTATTTGCCTGGAAGTACTTCATTTGCATATCCCAGCTATCTTGAGTGTCAGTGGGTTCTTGTTGTTTTGTTAAGCATGCTTGGATATTTGAGGATAGGGCGATAATAATACCACTACTCATTATTACTATCCCAATAGTCAGGAAAGGAACAAGATAATTTCCAGTTATGTCGAACAACCAACTTTTCAACAGAAACAAATTAACTAATTGACAATGTTAGTGTATACGATAAGCATTAAGTTCTACAAACAAAACAATTGTATCTGATCAATACCTTAATTCATCAATGGAATGCAATACAATTACTAACAATTACAAGAAATACCGTACTTAATAATACGTTCAGTTACGTCACTGGTGTGTGGTGTAATAAGCAGTGACAACGACCACAGATCAGGGCAATTAATCTTCACAATTATAACAGATACGTGGCACATATTGAAAAACAACAATGGAAAAGCTAAGCCAAAAAGTCTACTAAATAATAACACAATAGTGAATACTAGCAAATTTGATCTGAGTATATTATCATACATTTCATTTTAAGACGCATTGGAGAAAAAAATCAAGCATTACAACATTTGTGAATCATAAAACTATTTCTATTTTAATTGCAATGTAGACGATGTGATGCTCATAATCAAACCAACTATAACAACAAATCCATGACGATAAATAGAAGCAGTGTCATTTGGGGATATATATAGACGAGAACCAAGTACAGCACTATAAGGTATAGGTCGACAGAATTGCCTTTAACATTGACTAGCGACAGAACTAGTATGTTACAATATTTAACATCAATTTGGAGTACTTTATCTATCTGATCCAGTGTCATAATAGTGTCATGCAATCAAAACATATCAAGTTGCAGTATATTTTTGTAAAATATGCATGAAACCAATGACTTACCTACAAATGTTGGTCCTACAAGGAATCCTATGCTCATGCTGAAGTAGTCCCATCCAAATGCAATGTGCAGATTATCCACTCCCACACATTCTCGTAAAGCGACTGGAACCAGAACTTGAAAGATACCCAAATGTAAGCCATAAAATGTAGACAATATAGCTAATAAGTTATACATATCCACTAAAACGAACATGAACACAGTAGTTCCAGTTAAAGCTATGCCATACAAACGAATTGCAGATATATATGACCACAGTCAACAAGCCACCCATGACTGATGCGTCCTATCACACCCGAGATACTCTTTATTGTTAATAGAAATGTTGCTTCAAGCTTCTGAATACCAATGAAAACAGCCATTGAAACAAAGTGTGAAACTACAGCACTCGTTCCTAACCCTTCATACAATGCAGATTATAGTAAATTGTGGGTTTGAAACAAAGAGACTTAAATGAAGGGTATTCTTCACACTTGTTAATATGTTACATAGGCCAGTTTCTTCAGGGATCTGTTGTTCAGCCTGACTATTCCTTTTTATGACTTGTTTTGCATCATTGGTTTGAACTGCTTCCACTTCATTTGAATTGCTTACTTCTACATTTTCTGTTGACAATTGTAATGGGCGTAATATTGTACCAAATAAACATATATGGGCATTAACACCGGCAACAATGAACAAAGCACTTCGCCATCCATATATTGTAATAACAATCTGATGGAGAGGCGGGATGCATAACATGCCAACCGCGGCACCAGAAAACATAATTCCATTTGCTGTAGCATATCGCTTTTCAAAATAGTGACTTAAACCAATGACTGACGACGTCTGTGCAATGCCATAACCCACTCCGAAAATAAAATAAATAAATAAATTAATTAATAAATAATTTTTTATACCAAAGAAACATTTTAATTTGACTTTTAAAAAATAAGATTTACTTATTAACTAGCACACCATGTGTGAGATATAGTAATTCTAAGGACGGTGCAAATATTGAAAGGATTGTCCCAACTGCAGACATAAATCCGCCAATCATAACAACAATCCGTGTACCAAACCTCTTTGTTAGAATACTTGTCAATATTCCTAATAAAATAATTATCACCTTAAGAATAACGACAATAGAAGCTATTTATTTCTTTTTGGTGCACCGGAAAATGATATTTCCATTGAGCTAGTACCAGATTCGACGAGAAAGCTCTGAAGAACGAACCACTAAAAGTAGCCATCACTGCTATTTTGTTTCTTAAGTTCTGTAACGAGATGTATATGCATGGGCAGTGACAGAGACGGGAAGTCGAGTCTACTGCTAGAGCTATTGAAATAAATTTATGCTAAGGCGTTGAATATCACAATGTGGGCAACATACTAATGCGTGACTGGGTGTCATCATCCAATACAATAATGTGGTTTAAATGGCATTCTCCAATATCTGAAAAATAAAGCAATGGCTGATGGCATTCCTGTTAATCATTCGAGTTACAACATGGCGTCAACAATACTTGTGTAATATTCTGATTGTGTCGTTTGAAACGATTCTGTTAGCTAAATACATATTCTAATGCATGGTTATGTATGTGCTAAGAATAAGAACCGTTAAAAATAAGGGAATACTATACTGAAATACCAGAACACATTTCTTCAGATCACATTATTGATTATTATGTTTGCACCACGTGGGCGCGTTTAAGGTGAGGATGCACCATGATTTATAGGAATTTTAAACAATAATTTACACTTAGTCTACTAACAAATATGTTAATTTTGTCATGTTATATACCACATGAAGACTTATTTTGCCAGCTTTTCAACAGTATGATGCATTTTTTTGTGGTTGCTAACGGTATCAAAAATGGGTTGAAAATGTCCGTTTTTGGTTAAATTATGTTTAAAACTATTTAACCTCTGAACGCATAGGTTTATCGAATTGCAGTTTGACTTGTTTAAAACATATGCTCACTAGGATGATAGAACGAAAGTTTGTAGTAATTCCATTGAATAGTTTTTTTTTCACAATGCCTTCTATAAATTTCACACTTTTAAATTGACGTGTAATTAACGCTATTGCCGATTGACATTACGGTTACTTTTTTTCTTCTCCAAACAATAATTCCACGCGACGCACTCTGAATGTGCCAGACCGGAACAATTTACGCGGAACTACGAATGTCGTTTCGCGTACCTTTTGAACCACTACGAAAAGATCGAGTACCACAACTGGAACAACACTGAAACAACACTGTTTTAAAAAAAAATTAAATCTGCGCAAATTTGTGTGAGCGTTTCTGTTCTACAAAAAGCGGAGTTGGCGAAACTGTCTTCGTGAGCCCAGCTTCTGATGTCCCGCTATGTTTATAAAGTCAATTGTGGATGAAGCTTGTACGCACATGTATGCAAATTACCGATCAGCTGATTGTTTATAAATCCGACCCGCCAGGGAACCGGGTAAAATAGACTATGTCAAAATACACTATGCTTCACGTATTGTCTCCGTAATTTCTGGGCAAAATGTTTTTATTGTCACTCTTCTTGGAGCTGACAGAAATTCCAATTCGGCCGTGGTTTTTGTATGGGTGAGCGGAAATTGGTGGCGGAAGTCCAACGAAACTTGACAATTTCGTGTCATGGTGCCAATAAGGATAACAAGAACATCTGTATCAACAGTTCGTCTTAAACATTTAGCACAACCAAGCAGTATAGCACCCTGTACATGGTTTAGCAGCCTTTTGTCTGTTTTATGTGTTTGTTTTTAATATTTTATAAGGTGTTCTACTCACAATAGAATTTTTAAATTTTCACCCAAGAACAAGGACGTTATTTTAATTGTTAAAGGGCAACAGTCAAAGTCGCCATCTTTATTTATATGAGACCCATATATCTCGCACATGAGCAGCGCGACGACTACCGCGCTTTAATGTTTTTGAATAGCGTTCTATTCTTGTTTCTAATCCTGAACAAAAGTGATTACTAGTGAATCAACAAATATTTACGCAAGTCGTGCATATTCAGACCAGCAAATAGTTCCTATAATAGTCTTTAAATCCCAGAACTGGAATTTCATTGCCATTTAAAACGTACCAGAATTGACTCTTACAAAGTCTACATTTGTAAACTCACCTGAACTGTTGAAGAAGAAACCCATAAAAGACTCCTTCCTGGAAATACTCCACAAAAGCTACGAGAAACACGCCGCTGGTGTAAAAACTACCAGTGGAAAGAGCATGAATCATCATACTAGCAAATGTTATTACCCATCCATATCCACCATCAGGAGGTTTGTTTGTGGGATGTCTTTTCTACTCTGCCATTCTGTAATGAAATTGCATTAATAAACTGAATCCAAAAATGAGAGCTTCAAGCAGCCTGACGGGGTCCAAGCAAGAAGAGCAACATTGCACAGCATCATTGGCGGATTTAGAGGGGGCCGAGGGGGCGCGGCCCCCTATTTTTAACAACCAACAGGTCTTCGCGCCATCAGCGATCGTGAACTTGGCCTTTGGCCAACTTATCGGACCCCCTATCCAGAATCCTAGATCCGCCCCTGAGCATAATTGGTCCAAATGAGCATGGTTATGGCTGTTTTATACTTTACACAAACTCCAGGTTTTATATCAGTGGGTGGTTAGAGCATTTGAGTTTGTTTTATTTGTGTGTTCAATCCAAAATTGGAAATCACAGTAAATGACCATATTGATATGCTCTGTTGATATATACTACAAACTAAATGTTAGATCATTTGATTGAGTAGTTTATACCAACACTGTTTGACATTTTGTAATTTTCTGTGATCAAGCATAATAAATTGTTCAAATAGCAATTCGCTTTGTGCACAGATGATACAAGTAGGTTTTGTTAAAACTGTAGTTAGTGGTTAAGAAAATAAATTCAAAGCAGGCTATAATGTAAATTCAATATTGTTGCAAAAGTGTGTTTAGAATCTAACTTCAAATGTCCCGTGATGTTGATGTTTCATACCAACTTTGTATCAATTGGCCAAGAACTTTATGACAAGGTTTTTTTAATTTGGTCTTTTTTGGCCACTAGAAGTATGAGGTGTTGAGCACCTTCGGTTTTGAAATTGAAATAACAATGTTGAACAGACCACATGACTGATCACAATCATTTTATTTACCTCATACAAATATCTGACCATATTAAATACTCCACACAACATTTCACCTTCCACTTCAAATTTGCAGTTCTGCACCAACTATATGAAAAACGTCTACAAGACTATGGTATTGAGAAAGAGATTAACAGAAAACGACCCAAAGAAAAAAATCGCACATACTTCCCAGACGCACAAGAGCAAAGTGATGGCAAAAACAAGATTTTGGTTTTCCAACAAGGAATGCAGGAGATGCTGAAACAGGCAATGGGTTCTGATTACAAGGTGATACACTATTGCTTACAAAAGCTGCCAAGTTTGTGTGTAATGAGATGATAAACTTTAATGGATTGAACTTCTGGGTATCAACAAAAATCAATGCCAACCACACTAAAAATTCTGGTTTCCATGCTAGTGCTGATTTGGAAGATCAAGTTTCGACTTACAGGCTCTCAATTTCAGAGCTCATTGTCTTTAACTTCAAGAAACATTCATCAACTTCTGCCAAGTCTCGCCTTTCCTTGAAAAGAGAACTGCCATTGCCTCTATATATTAGAATGAAGAATCACACAGAGACTCGGTATAAACAATGATTACCAAGCTTTATGACTTTGGTTTTAGTGTAAACTATGACAAAGTCCTGCAACTTGAGAACCAGCTTACAACTTGAATTATGTATATAATCCTTCTTGTACAACTGCCCAGGGTTCCTTTCATGGCACAGCTCTTAGCCTGTTCCAGTTTCTCGCTATGTTAAATTTGGGTAGCAGACAAGACGATCTCAGGATGCCTTCGCCTAATGCCAAAAAGAATCATGATTTACCTGACACATTTACAACTGTGCCAGCTGTGGCTATGAAGACAGCTGCGGTTGCATTCCCCAAGCTGTCGTATGTTTCTGTTCCAATAAATGGAGAATTTGCAGATGCAGAGCTGAAGGAGAAGGACTGGCTGAAGTATGCTGGTCATGTAATGGAAAAAGAAAAAGTGGAAAATGGTAACACTGTGCCCTGGTAAGCTTTCCATGCTTCTAAACAAGGTTCACTCTCGCGTTTTGCCCCTATTTTATGAGAATCAGATAAGCTATAATCAAGTATGAACTAAATGTTGAGCACTGGGCTACAGAATTCCTCAATCCCAGACAGATGCCTGTTGTAGCAGTGGATGCACCACTTATGCACTAGCCAAGTTCACTCAATGGAATTGATCCGATACACATGCATCACAATGTTGGGTGGTCTACACATTGAAATGGCCATGTCCAATGTTCTGACACAAGGTGGAATTGCTTCATCAGGCACTACTGACTCTTTTTTGAAGGCCACACATGTAACAAGGACAATATATGCTCACCAGATGACTGCTTTAGCCCTATCAAAGCTTCAGCAAAATGCTTTATTACTCAGGCATCCAATGATGGTAAAACCAAAGGTACATGGAAATACTGGAATACTGGGATACAATTCTGAACATAAAGCTCGTGGGTCTTATTTTCATCAGATCACAACGTGAGGGAAATTTTCCTTTGTATGTGGAAAGCCTAAAAGCACTGGTCCCATTGTTCTTCGCATTAGACCACCACAATTATGCCCGGTGGCTACCAATACACATCAGAGACATGGAAAATCTTCCAGAACCCATTTTCGATGACTTTCAAGGTCATGATCATTGGGTCATCCACAAAGCAACCAAAAGATTTTCGGGCATGGCAATAGACAAGGCACATGAGCGGAATAATAAAGCAGTCAAGGGCTCTGGTGGGGCAGTTGGTCTGACTGAATATCCTTCGCCTTTCAGGAAGTGGATGATCGCAAGGTCTGAACAAGCACGGCTATTGAGGGAGTTTGAGGCTGGCTATCTTCCAAAAGAAAATGAGTGCATCTATCATCATGAAGAAGGATTTTCCATGCAGAATAGATTCATGGAGCATGCTGTTAGTCTGGCTGATACAATCAATGAGATGGGGAACCTCTTCCTTGTTGACAGTGATGAGTTATTGTCTCTAGACACACGTAATGTTTTGGATGAATCTGTGGTGAATACAATATGCCAAATATCATAAAGAAGTGATAATAGATTGTACACACTCAATTCATGACCCCATAAAAAAGAATGCTCTACCTCTTTTCAGATGCCCGAGGCCTAAATCAGAGCCAAGACAAGCAGAGACAATCTCACTACTAAAGAATGATGTTGCTCTGTCCTCCCATTTGTACATTGTGATGCATCACAGGGAGAGGGACATGAGTGAGTTCGTAAAACATGAGAACTATCCCTTTCCTCCTTCACTCTCCGATGGTGGTAAATTGCGATCTATTGAACATATTGGCACAAGACAATAGGCAAGATCCTCATGGTTTCTTACACTTGCTCTCCTCTTCTGGCATATGCTGACCGTATCTTTGTTCCACACATTCTGAAGCAGTTGCACTCAAAAAGAATAGATGTAGTATGGGACACCTACACCCCTAGCAGTATAAAAGAAGCTACAAGAGAAAAACGATGAAAAGGTATTTGGAGAAAGGTTGCTGGTGAAAACAAGATTCCAGGAAACTGGTCTGACTTCTTGCGTGACCCAACCAATAAACAGAAACTGTTTTCATTCCTTCATCACAAGATTGCTACCACCAACTGTCCCGAAACAAGGAAATCATTATTACATCTGTACTGCAACCATTCATCCAAGAACCAATCTTCCATGCCACCATGCAACCATGAAGAAGTAGACAAAATGCTGCTAAACCATGTACAGGGTGCTATACTGCTTGGTTGTGCTAAATGTTTGGGACGAACTGTTGATACAGATGTTCTTGTTATCCTTATTGGTAGGTTTCATCTTTGGCTGAAGATGTGAATATTTGGGTTGCTTTTGGTACAGCGAATACATATCATCACATCAATGGTATATATGATATGTTGGGCTATTAGAAATCCTTGGCTTTACCACTCCACTGCTTTAATATGGAATATGGTCTTTGAGTGAACAACTACTCCAGATGGTTGAGAATGGGCTCTTGGTAAGGACAAACAGACATGGATGCCTGTTTGGAACACTCAACCAATGGCCTCCAAAGCATGCACAGAACTGGTCAAGTGTGCATGCAATACTAGTTAATACCTTTGATGAGCCGTTATGTTTTTAAATGTGTGGGACTAAGGGTACTAGATGTGAATAGATTCCTAGTGAGATTGGTGCATTCTTTAGTCAATAAAACTTAAAAAGTTAAATTTATTGCTACTAAATTATACATAAGCCTTGTATGTGTTGCCAGTGATATGCTAGATTCCATTGTTCTTTAAATGTACTCATCAGGGGATAATACATTAGGAAACATTACTGTTCCACAGTAGTTTGTGGTCAGACTACACCAAGTCAGACTACACTGTGACTAAATACTGGCTTAGATATAAGCTAATCCCATATGTTTTCATATTAGCTATACCCAATTGTGTTCACTCACAGGAGGGCCCAACAGCACTGGCTAAGAACACCCAAACTTGTTTCCCGAATTCTGGGAATATACTAATGTGTTTTTATTTTGTCAATATAAAATATCCAAAAACCAACAAAACCAATTGTGAATATTCATGGTATATTTTAAGTCTAACCGGACCGGAGTGAGTATTGTGAACACAAGCGTTGTGTTCGGGGATCTTGGGAACTTCGGGATCCAGATTCAAGCCAAATGAGTACACATTACTAGTAGTTAAATACAGATAGTCCAGCTTTATTCACACAAACAGTCAGGTTAAGTAACCCCGTTCTTTCGTTCTTCTCAAAGTAAAAACACTAACCCGTGGCAGAGTAAACATGCGACCAGCCAATCGATGAAGTCGGTGGCACGATCACGTGAGTACCAAAGATTGTCACACGCAACGTAATATTACCGTAATTGGTATAGTACAGGTGTGATGGTTCAAATACCAAAATGGCAACAGTAACAAAAAGACGTCCCTGGCGGCGATGATAAAATACGAACACGGAGCCAACAGATGAGGTTTCAACTGGTACTGGTATTATTATACTTTGCAAACATCAAGTACAATAACGCGGTAAAACTCCACTACTCCAATAACTAGATACTTAAACTCCAATACAATTCAACGAGATCTCCGATCTGAATT